CAGCCCCACCCCCACCATGCCCCAGCCAGTCCCTCCCGCCCCAGCAGGCCTCACCCCAGTCATCGTAGCCGTGGGTCAGCTCGTGCCCGATGATGGTGCCGATGCCACCGTAGTTCAGAGACCTGGGCCCAGGGCAGCAGCTTCAGGCCCCGCTCTTGCCTGCCCTCTGAGAGCCCGTGCTGCTGCCCAGGCCCCTGGAAGCCCCAGAGAGGCAACAGGGGCATCCACAGGTCCTGGGCACTTGTGCCTCAGCTTCCTCACGGGCTATGTGAAAGGGGACAACTTCCCTTTTGGAAATAATATCTAACACAGCTGGCGGGGGCCATATGACAGGGTAGAGGGAGGCAGGAGGGAAATTGAGGCCTCCTTCCTCATCACTAGGGTCCCTCCACTTTCGAAACACCTAAACAAGCTGAAACAGGCAAAGGGCACCCAAGAAGTTTTAAAAGCAAAACAAACCAAAAACCCAACTATACATTCTCTAAATAAGCAAGGAGAAAGTGGGACTATGGGGGCCCAGGGCCTGCAGCTGTCACGACCCAGCCACTTTTGGAGCAGCAGGCACCCTCCCCGCCCACTTGTACTCAAGGGCTAGGAGTAAGCCTGTGTCTCCTACTCACTGAGGGAAATCCGGGTCATACAGGGTGGGCTGCAGGATGCCTGCTGGGAAGACTAAGGGGCGTGGTCAGTAGAAGGCACGCCCACTCGGGTCCCGCCCCTGGCCCGGACACACCCCCTTACCCATCTGGTTCTTGTTGGGTAGATAGTAGGCGTTGAGCGCCTGCGGGGGGAGCAGCCACCTGTGGAAAGAGGCTGGCGTCACCTGAGGTGGGCACATTCCTTCCCCCACAGCGCTCACATCCTCGAGGACTGTCCTGACCACCAACCACAGCCACCTCCTGACAGCACAGCCTCTGGACGTCTCCAGGCCGGGCCGGGCCACCCCACACCCTGCACCAGGCCTGCTCGCCCCTACATCAGCCTGGCTTTGATGTTTCCTCCAGCAGCTCCTGGACTTGGGAAGGAGTCCCCCCCTCCCCGCAGCCTTCCCCGACCCCCAGCCCAAGGCCAGACACCCACGTGGACTTGTCCACCTCCTGTCGGATCTTCTTGACGGAGAGCTGCATGCTAAAGCGGATGCTATTCAGGATGTTCTTGAAGTAGGTCTTCTCGTGGACCTCAAACTGTGTAGATGTGGGCCACGCTCAGAAGCGGGCCGGGCAGGACCCTTCCATCAGATGAAGCACCACAATTCTGTCTGTGGCTGGTGGTCGGCTTCCCTGGAGAAGCCTCCCGATCAGGCTGGGCAGGATATGGGAACAGGGCCCACCTCATACTCCTTGTCCACAGCCTCTGGTTTGAGCAGGAAGTCCGGGTAGCCGACCATCACCATCATGTACTGGAGCTGAGGAGACAGGCAGCTGAGAGGAGCTCTAGGCCAGCCAGGTATGGGGATCAAGGCAGGGAGGAACAAGCAGGTGATGTTGTTCCACAAAGGCAACTCTCTCTTGTTCTCCTGTTGTCCCCAGGGTTGGGCACCCAGGAGGCACTCAGGTCTTACGTTACCTTGGCCCGAGCAGCAGCCTTGGTCTGGGCATCCATCCAGTCCAACTCCTCCAGGCGCTGACCCAAAATGTACTTGATGTCTTCCACCAGCTGCTGCACCTGGCAGGTCAGGAGTCAGAGAGTGCAGGTCAAAGGGGGAGGCTGAAGATCTGGCCCCCAGCCTTGACATCAAGGGTGCCCTTGTCCTTCAGTATCACTTCCTCAGCTTAGGGTGCCATGCTGAGCACCCAGGGGAGACCTTGGAGGTGGGGATCCATGTCCTGCACCCTGACCTTAAGCTCCCAGTCTGGAAGGGGGAAACTGCCGAGAACAATCCTGCTCCTTCCTGAGGTCATGCCTACTGAGCTCTGGCAAGGGTTGGCAGCAGCCTGGCAGAGAGTGCCACCTGCAGCCAACCCAGTTCACAGGCTTCCCTGGGGGCAAGGCCTGCAGCCTGGAGCCTCACCACAACTGAGCCCTAAGCTGAGCCTGGCATTCCAGCCCCTGGCAAATGTGCCAGGCTCCCCACCCTCCACACCCAGTTCTGTACCTGCACCCACACCCTGTGCCCAGGGCAGCCTGACCTTGGCTTTGCTGGCAGCCGAGAAGTGCTCGTGTACAAAGAGGGCACCAAGTGCCATGCCGAAGTGGCGGTTGGCCTGGCCCAGGCAGACTCGGGCCAGCTCCTGGGGCTTGTCACTGCCCTCCATCTCTCGAGCCAGCTCATGCAGCGCCTCACGGAAGGGGGAGGACAGGTGCTCACTCAGGACCACCACCACACGCCACACGAGGTAGTTGTGCAGGATCCTGGAGGCAGGTGAAGCAAGGTGTTCAGACGGACAAGCAGGTGGGCAGTTAGACCCGTCCCACCCACGGATGGGCCCAGGTGCCACAATGCCCCACAAAGAAGGGGAGAGTGCAGGCCAGGTGTGCAGAAACGAAATACAAAGTGTCATGATCCCCTGCCTAGCACAGACCACAGTCCTGCTCTGAAAGGTCACCAACCCCATTTCCCATCTGCCTGTGGGTGGAACATGGGGCGCTCCGGGCTGACTTTCTGCCTCTGAGATGGCCTTGAGCCACCTCTGTTCCTCCCCCAGGCAGAGACAGAAAGCTCTCCCCCAGGGGGCGCTGGGCAGCGGAGTCGTGGCCACCCCTCCCCATGGGGACACCAGGCTCAGCCGCACCACCCACAGGGAGCTCCCAGCCTGCCCTGCTCCCACAGCGCAGGGGGTAGCACCAGCCTCTGACCCCAGGGATCTGGACTCCCATTGCAGGGCCCCCACCCCACCCACCCACCCGGGGTGACTTCGCACAGAGGGGAGGTGGCCATGCAGACAGGTCCCGGTGAGAGCAGGGCCCTACAGACGATGGGGCGGGGCCGGCTGTGGCTGCAGCCCACCTGTGGGGTGTGGAGCGGATGAGCTGGGACACCTGCTGCATGTAGTCTGTGGCCAGCAGCACCACCTCCTCGTCCTCCGAGAAGTCCTCCTGGAAGATCTGGTCCAGCAGCCACTTCCACCGCAGCTGTGGGGCCGAGGGTGGGGCCCAGAGCACAGGGAGGGATCAGAGGGGCGAGGAGGGCAGCAGGGAGGGTCCGGGTGCACAGAAAGGCATGGAGCCAGCCCCAGGAGGGGACCCCGGAGCTGCCTGGCGGTGCAGCCACTCACATGGGGGGTGATCTTCTGCAGCTGGCCCAGCGTGACCTTGTTGTACATGGCACTGACGTCCCGCCGCAGGTCGTCGTACTCTGACACGGTGATCTGGGAGGAAGCCCCTGCTGAGTGGCCCTGCCCAGGCACCCCCCCCCAGCCAGAAGCCCACTGCGGCTCACATTGGCCAGCTGCCGCTCCAGCTGCAGGATCTCCTGGGCCTTCTGCTGCACTGAGTCAGCACCCAGCAGGCTGAGCAGGCGCTCCATGAACAACCTGTAGGCCGCCAGGACCTGTGGGGGACAAGGCTCCTCAAGGGGGGCACAGAGCAGCCTGGGGACTCCCCCCGTGCGGCCCAGGCCTCCCCACAGCCCCCTTCCGGCCAGGTACCTTTTCACTCTCCTCATCCTGAGCCAGGTACAGGGTCCTCTCCGGCAGAGTGAGCCCATCCTGATCAATCTGGGAGGGTAACAGTGCTCAGGGTGAGAGCTCGGTGTGCCAGCTTCCCAGACTGAGTCCCTCCAGGTGCCTGGAGAGCAAGGGACACGGCCCCTCCCCCACCCAGAGCTGCCTCCCAGCCCAGCCCGGGAGACGGCGGGGAGCCCTCCCACGCCTTCCTCATCTTCCCTTCACCTGCTGGGTACAGAAGCCGTCCTGGCGTTCTGTCCAGCTCCTGCCCCAGCCTCGTTGTCACCCCAGCCCTCCGTCCCCTCCCTCCACGCTCCCCACAGGGCTGGGATCCGCAACCCCTTCCCTGCTCCCCACCGCGAGCCAGGCAAATGATTTGCGCCCTCCCTTTGCTCCGTCCCTTCTCCAGCAGCGTCTTGGCCCCGGGTCCTGGCCCCATGATCCCCGAACTCACTCTGATCACATAGCGGGAGGAGTTCCTGTCGTCCAGGCTGACGGTGATCGAGAAGAGTGCGGCCGCGCTGTACACACCCTGTGCCTTATACAGCAGCCGGTTCAGGTCCCAGCGCGCCGAGTCCCAGCCCCCGCAGTCGGCGATGACCTCGAGCATGGGCCGCGGCCCTAGCCGCTCGATCTCCCGCATGTCGAGGCATGAGCGGAAGAAGGCGCGCA